CTGGGTTCAAGACCCAAGCTCACCTATTTACTGGTTCGTTTATTTAGAGCTCCTTCCTATGCCTCCGGTTCCCTCATCATGAAATGCACTAAACAGTAACCCTTTCAAAGGACTGGTGGAGGAGGAAAGAAAACACTGATCCTGTGCTCAGCCAAGTCCTTAGAATACAGTGCCTGCTCTGTGAACAAGTCATTATTTTTAATGATGAAGTGCGGTCTCCATCAATGCCACACGCTGGTTCAACACGGGAGCATCAGGAACAGCACCAACACACCATGGAAAGACCTTACTCTCCTGACCCTCCTAGGAAGAGATGCAGGCAGCAGAGCAAGTCTAACAGTCACAGGACTTGTGGAAGAAAACTATTCCGGCAGGCCACAGCAGGATGAGAAGGCCCAGGCCCACTAAGTGCCTGGTTCTCTGCCAGCTGCACAAGGCATTTATCACTAGGCAACCCTAAAAGGTGTGCATGGTCTGGACTGTGGTGGTGCACGCCTTTAATCCCAGCACTCCAGAGACAGAGGCAGGCTGATCTCTGTGAGTTCAAGGCCAGTGGGCTGGTCTACAGAGTGAGTTCCAGGACAGCCAGGGCTGTTATACAGAAAACCCCTGTCTTGGGGATGGGAGCAGAGAAAAGGAGAAAAAAAAAAGGCAGGCATAGGGACCAAATAGCTGAGACTCACACCTACCTTGAGTCTGGATGGGATTGAAGAAAGGAAATTTGTCTTGGTAAAGGCTCTCAAAAGCACTGTTTCTTAGAGCAGATACCGGCAATGGCTGCAGGTCCAACAGTTCAGTTGGAGGGGGGTACTTCTCTGGAAGGATCAGGTGCCGGAAAGAGACAGGCAGCTGGGTCTCACAAGCTGTCAGGGAAGAAATGGAAGGTTAGGGAGCATCCTCCAGCAGACCTCCACAGCGCTATCCACGAACACTAAAGACCTTAGGCTCTGTCTGTATCACTCTCTCCAGAGGCAAGCAGTCCACTACTATCTTTGGAGGGTATGTTCCTAGGGGACTCAGGAGACACTCACAGAGCCAGCGGTCAGACACCACTCGGATGAAGTACTGCGGGGGCAGTGGTTCGAAGACTGGGACGAAGAACGTAATAAGGTGCTCATCCTGGGCATATTTGGCCTTCAGCAGAAAATATTCATGGTGCAGAATCACCTCACTGTCCACATCCTCCACTAGAATCCAAAATGCCTCTGATGAACCATGGACCTGCCAACCCAAGCACCAGTGAAATCAGAACGAGCCAATGAGGGGATTCAGCAACTCCCCCTCCCCCTCCCTAACCAACAAAACCTTGCCTTTTCATCCCACTGGAAATCTGGTGTGATAGTCAGCTCTACTTTCAGGGTGGAGCGTGTAATAGGCTGCAGGTGCACGGACAACTCCAACTTGGGGAAGAGATGGACGTACTTGTGGATGGTCTTCCCCATCTTTGGCATTCGGATAAGTTCACCTAGAGGAAGTAAAGGCATTGGGGCTGCTGTCTGGCCAGTCTAGCAACTCTGCAAACAGGGCTGTAGGGCAACTGTGGAGAAGGAGCAGATTCCACACCAGCAGACAGGCTCCCTGCTTTAGCCTCAGTGAGTACTAATGGTTCAAAGTCCTAAGCTGAAGAGGGAGCTGGTACAATAGCAGGATGCAAGCCCAGGGTACCAGTGCCCAGGGTCTAGGACCTGGGGAGTAGGAGTCTGACAAGAGAAAGATGCCTGGGCTACAAGACAGGACAAGAACTTTACACACCTATCTCATTATGATTCAAGTCATAGAGCCGCTCAAAGGGGAAGTTTTTCTTCTCAATCTTCTTCACTACTTCCTCGGGAAGTTTACGGAACTGACGAAGAGGACACATGGACTGCCACCTATCCAGAAAGGAGACACAGCTAGTTCACTCTTTCTCTAGGGCTGTGGACAGACCGCCTTCATCAGCTTCCAACGTTTTAGAATAACCACACAGACCCTATCATTAAAAATGTCGGAAACTGCCAGGAGACCAGACAGCCAATCCTGGTTGTTTTCCCCCACCTCCCCAGCCCTGTATTCTAGAAGGCACTGCCTTCTCAACTTTCACGCAGGTTCGTGCCACATCTCAGCCAACAGGACTGGACATCAAACGCACTGAGGCCCAAACTCACGGAACAGCCTCTGGCTCTCTGAGCCCTTACATGCGTTTGTCGATCATCTTGCAGAGATTCAGGGTCTTATCTGTAAGCTGTGCCCAACCTCGGTTCAGAACAATTTCGAAGATTGCACGCATCAAGCGGCCAGCAGACTGAGGAAAGACAAATATTTCCATCGTGAAACCTCTGTAGCCTGTCTACCATGACTTGACCATCACAAGATCTGATGCAATCACTCAGACAAATTCAGAAGCAAAAGTTTCTGTCTCCTACCCTTCCAGGTCAAGATAGAGTAATCAATAAAATATTTTGTCATTTTTTATGAACACCACAGCTACAATGGGGAGTCGTTTTTCTTGGAGAAGGTGACGTGCCCAGGTGATCTCTCTCTCCAAGCACCTTGAGAACTTCTCAGCACTCCGTAAGGCCTGTCCTTCCCACACGCTCTAGCTCAGCAGGAAGTGACGGCAGGCAGCTGGCCCGCTGGGACAAGCAGAAGGCCCGCTGGGACAAGCAGCTGGCCCGCTGGGACAAGCAGAAGGCCCGCCCTCTTCAAGGCCCACAGCCCCTCACTCGTGCAGCCGGCCCTCACCTGTGTCACGTACACCATGTCAGCCATCAGTGCAAAGCCTTCCAGTTTCAGCTGTGAGATGAAGGCTTGGAGAAGCACATTGATCTGCAAAGAAGCAAGGACAGCTAGCAAAGGCCCGTCACTGACAATCCCAGAAAGGAGTTGCATTTCTGCTCCACTGCATGTGCCCAACAGGACTTCCATAGTTCTTGATTTCCGTGTTACATCATCATTATCCCATATAAAGCATATGTGGGAAGGCAGCAGGGTAGGAAGATGGGGAGGGGGGCATAGTCAGTAGTACAGCACATGACAGGTCAACCCTAACACCCTCCAAAGAGTAGAGAGAATTGTGCATGTCCTTCATACACGAATTACCACGTATGAAACCAAGTTCAAAGTCCCTCCTTTGGAAACTGAACACTCATGTCTGAAAGTGAAGAGGCGCTCACCTTAGCACTGGGTTCTTCGATGCTCTCCTTTACAGGGATGGGCACCCTCTCCAGCAACTTCTGCAGCTCCAGCTTCTCCTCCTGCCACAAGGAAAGACAGGCCATAGAAAATCCACAGGGCAGGCAAGGGTCAAGGAAAGAAGTCCTCCAGCAGCCTGGCAGGGGTCCCAACTCCTGTCCTGGTATGCTCCTAGGCTCACCTCTCTCACAGTGATGTTCTTGAACTCCGAGGACAAGGAGAACACTCGGAAAAGCTCAATCTCACTCAGAGTAGGCTTCAGCAGCTGGTTGTAGGTCTGCACAGTATCATTGGTGATATAGTAGTGACTAGCTATCCGGCCAAGTTCTGTCACCTAGGAAGAAGGAAGACTCAATACAAGGCTGACCAGTGATCAGCCCCCAACTTCTACACCAAGTGACTGTCTTAAGATGACAAGTGGATGAATTCCTTGTGGTACAACTGCCTGCCCAACACAAGTGACTCAGGCACAAAAAGAAATACAGCACAAGAAACTGACCTAAGGAGAACTGATGCTCACATAAACCAAATGGCCGAATGACCTACCTCAACTCAAACTTGGAGAACTATCTACCATTTTTAAAGTCAAAGGGCTGGAGAGATGGTTCAGTAAGAGATGGCTGCTCCTCCAGAACTGTGGTTCAATTTCTAGTACCCACATAGTGACTCACAATCCTCTCCAGTCCCAGAGCAGCCAATGCCCTCTTCTGGCCTCTGTGAGGACCAGGCACAGCTGAGGCACACAGACAAACACACAGGCAAAACACTCATGCACATACGTAAATAGTAACATTTTAAAACTAAGTAGAAATTTGCAAGTTAAATTCATACCTCAAAGAGCACAATCTAATCCCCAATCAGGACAACAGGTAATTAGACAGGCATTACAAAGATGCCTCAATTTTTGCTAAAACGTTCTCAAAAAGCCACATGCTAATCACCTGAAAGTTGCCTGTTTTCTTGTCATACTTGACCAGATTGTTCTTGTCCAGCATCAAAGCAGCAGTGTGAACAAGATCTAGTCGGCGCTGGTCCAGCAAGAGATCTCCTTTGAGGTCATCATGAGAGATGCCATAGAGGGTCGGGGAGCGGAGCATTCGGATGTACAGGTAGGCGTAGCCCAGCCAGTTCACCGCATCCTGCAAGACAGCTCATGTTTAGCATGAAGAGCTGCTAATTTCCAAAGAAAAGCCCCACAAATAGCCTGAACATTAATTCTCAAGCACAAGGACACAATTTACAGTGTCTTCTGGATGTTTTCAGTATTTCAATTAAGAAAAAACAACTTTTCAAGTATCTTAAACATAAACGAACTATCTGTCACAAACCCAAGGAGCTTGCCCTGCATGAGGTGTGGTGCAGAGCTGGAGACACGGCTGTTGGCCTCAGCATCCTCACAGGAGGCACACACTCTTGAAGCACAGAGGAAAAGTGTAAGCTCCAAGTCACAGCCTGCCCTACCTTTGCATTCTGGACGTTCCCCAGCACAATCTCGGCATTGAGCATGTCAGGCAGCTTGGATACCATCTGGCTCTCAATAGGAAGTTGCTGGTTGAGGAGAGAGAGGTAGTACTGTAGCTCTCCATGAGACGTGATGAGTATACCTTCACCCTTGGTGTCATACTGAGGTCGTCCAGCACGGCCCAGCATCTAAGCAGAAGCAATCAAAGAAAATGTCATTGCAGAGCTTTTGACAAGAGTCTACACACTTTAGAACTTGGCCGTGATCTGCCATCTTTCTACCATCCTTGTGCTCCAGGGACAGGATGCTCATCCCGTTGGGAAACATCTCAGAGGCTCTGTACCTGCAGAATGTCCAGTGCTCCCAGCTCTGTCCAACGCCCCTTCTCTGGACTGTACACCTGGGTGCCTTTGATGATGACCGTATGTGCAGGGAGATTTACACCCCAAGCCAGAGTTGCTGTGGAAACCAAAACCTGGAGAGGCAAAGAAGAGCAATGAGGGAAACATACACTACCACAGCAGGGCCACGTCCCTGGCTTGTCTGGCTTCTGAACTTAACTGGAGGTAGGAATGGATGTATCTCTCAGTGCTCAATGTGACACTGAAGCAAAAAAAGAGTTGCTGTAGTCCCTTCTATATTTAAGAATTAGCATTGGGCAGTGGTGGCACACACCTTTAAACCCAGCACTCAGGAGGCAGAGCCAGGCGGATCTCTATGAGTTCGAGGCCAGCCTGGTCTACAGAGTGAGATCCAGGACAGGCACCAAAACTACACAGAGAAACCTTGTCTTGAAAAAGCAAAAAAAAAAAAAAAAGAATATACCAAGGTTCCAGAGACACTTAAAGGTCAGAAAGTAGTATTAATCGACTTAGTTACAAGACACTGGAAATCCACCATCCTAGAAGAGGGAAAGAATGTGGTCCTGACCCCATGAATTATAGTGTAGAGTTCTATGAAGCATCCATTGTCCCTGATGCAGTATATATAGAAGTGTGGGGAGAGACAGCATAACTATCATGACCTTCCAGCCTGGGCCAAATATCAAAAGTCTAGGGATGGAGAGTGGCTCAGTGGTTGGAGCAGGCACTACTCTTGCAGAGGACTGGGCTTCAGGGCCCAAGAACCAAAACTGCTCACAACAATATCTAACTCCAGCTCCAGAGGTCTAGTGCCCTCTTCTGGCCTCAGAAAGCACCTGCATGCATATAGTGCACATAAATCCATGCAAGACAGACAGACACAGACACAGACACAGACACAGACACA